TTTTCTCACCAAATAAGTCTTTGATGGAATAGATCTATATAAAATTAGGGGGAGATGGAGATGGTGATAGCACGAATGTGGGCAAGTTAGGGGGACGGAGACGAGGCGGTTGCAGTAGCAGTTGGGGATATGAATGATTAGTGAATTAATGGCCCGTGAAACATTAATCATTAGAAAACTGATAGCAGTTAACTGGTGGAGAAATCTGGAAACTGGCGGAATTTTCTAAGCAGATTACATTATATATATTCACACACAAGACTAACGTTGAGTTGATCCATTGTCACAACTGATTCACCAAAGAGCTCATATATAATATCACAGCCAAGTATCAAGACTAATAAAAGATCAAAATACACTTCCTCGCAGTACAACTCAAATGTGTTTTGACGTGTGAGTTGGTAAAACGCTTCTATGGTAGATTTTGAAGCCTAGACTCCAGCTATGTTGTTAATAAAAAATATATTTGATCTTGGAAATTCGCCCTTTTTAAAAAGAGTTGTTTATCTAATCATTAGGAACAACATAGTCTTTCTGTTTATACCATGATACAGTTAAATTATATTGTCATATTCAGAAAAATAAATTCACTTAGGAAATAGTTTGCTGTAATATTCAGGAACAACGCCATGACCAACATTACATACAAAATTCAAATCCAGGGTTTAATTCCGTAAATGAAATAATTCTAAGGGTAATGTGTGATACTTATTTTCAACAACTAGTTGTTCAACTACAACTAGTTTTATAATAATATAAAACTTTTTCATGAAAACCAATGCTAGGAGAGGAAAGCCACTATGTACTTCTGTTAAGATATGTGCGCTTGTTAGATTTTATTTAGAGAAAGAATACAAAAAATGTAACAATTTGAGGTAACTGAAGAAAAAAAAATCGTTCAATATCAAAAGAAGTTCTTGCAATTTAACAATATCTTCAAGTTGTTACACTTTTTCAAAATTTATTATTTTTCATATAACTTATCCAGAACTCTTTAAAAGCCTTAAACTTCCTAATTTATTTTTGTATTCTAAATTAATTTAAAGGAACTGAGATCGCCTCATTCTAAACCTTTTCCCCTACTCACCACTAGTTATCCAAGATGGCTGCTTGGCAAGAAGATTTGTTAATGTGTCTTAATAATCCCGCTATAATGAAATAGAACACTACGATAACAGAAATATTTTTCGTCGTTAACTTACTTTCTGTAGTCGCAAATAAAAATCGGTAAAAACGCTAAGGTGTATAAACTTTATAAGATAAGATGAAATTCTATTGGAAGTAGCTAATCTGTAGCTTGTATAAAAATACTTCAGCAAAAAGTTGCTATAGTTCCAGTACTGAATCTAAGTGTCTACTTTCAGTGTAGATACTGATTAGGTTTAGCGTATTGCCAATTTGGTTATTAGATTTCAAAAGTAAAACGAGTTAAAAAACTAGATGTAAAAAAAAAAGATAGGAAAAACATCTTAAACTAATAAAAAAAAATTAGTAAAAACTAAAAACTTCTTTGAACCTGAAAACTAATTTAGTTCTTTCCAAGACAAAACACCAGGCTCACTTACAAAGAAAGTAACATTGAAGACAATCACGTTTTTTTTCCTGTGGACAAGAAGTGAGAGTGCCTGTATGTGTGCTTTTCATTACTGTGGAGTTGAACAAGACAGGGGAAACTAGGTCCTTTCATATGGAAATGTATTTCTTGTTTCATGAAAATCAAGAGAATAAAAAATTACTAGGATGACAGACTAGTACCACCCCCATTCCCTTATCTCCTCAAGCTCGTCGAGATTAGCTTTGACACAAAATAGTCTTTCTTCTTTGTGAATCAACGGTAGCCACCTCCTCGCTTCTGGTGGGATACCGCAGTGCTCGAAAAAAGGCCGATTGACACGTCTCGACAGCGGTAAATTGGAGCGCCAATTACGAAGATGAAACGAACGCCATTTGCACTCAGACTAAAGTGGAACTGACAAAGAAATTTAAGAAGGCTCAAGCAGAGGATTAGACAGGTAGACAGGTGGCATCACAGGCTAAGCTCTCCTCTACTTCGTGCTAGAGTTGCTAGGAGAAAAAGTTGGGAATAAGAAAGAATTCGTGAACCGAACATACCTGACAAGAAACGCAAAGATGACAGCCTCAGCTTGGTACTGTACTGACACAGAAGAAACTATATACATCGAAAGATAATAGCTACCTATCCACATCTTTCTCCATAAAAACTATCAACTTACATCACTAGCTTCTGAAAGACACAGAAGCCTTCTCTGTAACAACATCAACACTTTATCACTAGATTCTGAAAGACACAGAAGCCTTCTCTGTAACAACATCAACACTTTATCACTAGAGTCTGAAAGACACAGAACCCTTCCCTCTAACAACATCAACACTTTATCACTAGATTCTGAAAGACACAGAACCCTTCCCTCTAATAACATCAACATTTTATCACTAGCTTCTAAAAGACACAGAACCCTTCCCTGTAACAACATCAACACTTTATCACTAGCTTCTAAAAGATACAGAACCCTTCCCCACAACAATCAACAACTATCACTTACATCATGCGCTAGCTCTTAAGAGAGAGAATCGTTCAAGTTTTACATTGATACATGATGTAACATTAATTAAAGATAAACCAACTGAGAGACGGAATTTGGTAATGACCCCAAAGCGATGAGGGTTATGTTTTGTTTTGAGATGATGTACACTTCCATTGGTTATATGGTTGGTTGAATATTGTAGTTAAGCACAAGCGTACACAATATACTATCTGCGATGCGTCCACCGAAAGGAATCAAACACCGGATTTCAGCATTTAAGCTCTTAATCTCACCGTTGAGCTAGATAGGAACACGTAAGTGAAAATACCAAAAGTTAATTCACTTTGAAGACTGAATTCTCAGGAAAGTCTCGATTGTTTTTAATTGTACGGAAAAAAAATTAATAAAAATTAGCTATATTGCCTTTGAAAAAAAGTTTATTATATTATAAGCTGCGATATGCAAGATTTTGGAACACACACACATACACGTATTTTAAGAAATACTGCCATATTATACAGGAAGATAAACCTTTAAAAACTACGTAAAATATTTTCCGTCACAACTATTATAACAAATCTCCTACCTTATGCTAACATTCTGTTAACGTTAATTGTTTCCCTTGTTCTGTTCAAATATTAAATATCTTTGCTAAAATTTGTAACATGGTAAATGTTAAAGATATCCAAATACTAGTATGTTTGAAAATTTTGGATATAAAGTCAGGTAATATTTTTAATAATTTATTTTAGACCTGATTGCATTGGTTTGTTTAAAAAACAAAAACTAAAATAGTTTACAGCCCAAATATGAAGAGCGAGAAAAGTAGTGCAGGTTTGTTTCAGATATTCGCGCAAAGCTACACAAGAGCTATCTGCGTTGGTCGTCCTAATTTTTGATAGACTAGAGGGAAGGCCACTAGTGAACAGCACTGTGGGATATGACCATCACTCTTATAACATACCCATGGCCTTAAAGTACAGAGCGTTATTTTGTAGCAACTTGACTCGAACTTTTGGCCTAGGATTCACAGTCAGGTACGCTAAGGACTAGGCCACACACGACCCAGTGAATCAAGTTCTTACAAAATACAAACTGACAGACAGTAACATCTTAGCAATTACACATCAAGGAAGTTTAGCAATAGCGTGTATATTAGTAACGCCAAAGTTTACGAGATACGATTTTAGAAAGTATTTTTTAAAATAGTAGATATGTTACTAAATTATTCAGAAATTGTTATTTCACTCACAACAAGTTCTTAGGTTTTCTAGAAAAAGTCGTTTACTTACATGCTATTGTAACGACGGCTCGTCTACTTTCTATCTGGCCTGTAGACGACCAGGCGAAACACACACAGCCATACTTGTCGGGTCCCTTGTAAGTTTCTACCTCCTTGCGAGATACGTCGACGGAAACCTCGACTTGTCTCACGCCGTTCATGGGATCCACGAATTGCTGACTGCTGTGTTGGCGACTGTGGGCTAGTTCACCGTTACATTTGAAGTACACCTGAAGAGCAAAGCGGGCCTTACAGTGAAGGGTGGCTGGCTTGTTCCTTACCACAAACGTATCTTTCGGTTCTTCCACAAACACCGGGGCGGATGACGGGTCTGGGTCTTCCGTGGGTGAAGGATGTAGCAGAAATCCTCCTAAAAAAGTTATGTAAAAGTTAACATTTCAAAGCAAAAAAACTTCATTTCCTATAACTATCCACTATCTTTCATTCATAGCCAATCCCAAAGAAATATATTTGCTGTATTTTATAAATAACAAACAAAATTTGGTTCATATTTCAAAATCAAGCTGCCACAAGGAACAGCCTAACGAAGCACAGTTTTGAAGTGCCGAGAAAAGTTTTCATCACAAGGTTAAGAGGAAAATTTTCTTTATTTTGAAGTTCGCGCAAAGTTACACGAGGGTTATCTGCGCTAGCCGTCCCTTATTTAGCAGTGTATTGTTTGTTTGTTTGGTTTCAATTTCGCGCAATGCTACACGACGGCTATCTGCGCTAGCCGTCCTTATTTAGCAGTGCAAGACTAAATGAAAGGCAGCTAGTAATCACCACCCACCGCAATTATTGGACTATTCTTTTACCAACGAATAGTGAGATTGACCGTCACATTATAATGCCCTCACGACTGAGCATGTTTGATGGAACTGGGATTCGAACCCGCGACCCGCAGAATGCGAGTCGAGCTCCCTAACCACCAGGCCATGCCGGGCTATAAGAGGAAGAAAAACAGTTTTCAACACTTAAGAGCAGAATGCATAATCTGAAACAAAACAAAAAAACCTGATTATTTGTCTGCTTATTACGATAAACTACTTGAGCTTTAACGTTATTCCTAAATCTTAATACAGCACACCGCACAAAAATATGGTAGCCAGATAAAGCGGTACTATTATAGATATTGGTGAATGTCGTTTCAGTAATTTTGTTGTGAACATAATGCTTATGGAAGATGTATCATTAATCGAATGATCTGATGTGTTTTTATATTTAAAATAAAGTACGTCTTGTTTCTTTTAAATTCTATACTTGGTTTTATACATAGATATTTTAAATTTTCAAGGTATTGTTTGTTTGTTTGTTTTTGAATTTCGCGCAAAGCTACACGAGGGCTATCTGCGCTAGCCGTCCCTAATTTAGCAGTGTAAGACTAGAGGGAACGCAGCTAGTCATCACCACTCACCGCCAACTCTTGGGCTACTCTTTTTCCAACGAATAGTGGGATTGACCGTCACATTATAACGCCCCCACGGCTGAAAGGGCGAGCATGTTTGGTGGGACGGAGATTCGAACCCGCGACCCTCAGATTGCGAGTCGAGCGCCTTATCCACCTGGCCATGCCGGGCCCTTTTTTCAAGGTAAGCAAAAACAGTTGTGTTTTAGATAAAAATTATATTACACATAATGACGCCATTTAAAATTACTTAATACTCGGAAAACTTAAAATCATTGGTAGTGATTGTCCAATGTTCCAAATATTACAACGCATACAATGTTTACTAATAACTCAGACTGTTAAATAAAAAATTTTAAATAAGACTATTTTACAGTTTAACAATAAAATAGCTAGTTTCCTAATCTCTGATTACTTGAATAGCCAAAGAGCTGTTTTGTTCAGTTGCTTTTTGTGAAATGGTTTATCACTACTCAGAAAAATCAAAAATCAAATGAAAATCGGCAAACAAAATCAGAAACACTATGTTGTTAAACAATCAAAATATAAATTTCAACAACAATATAAGGCAGTAATCTTATAAGGCCGTAATTTCGTTGGATTTCGTTGGTTTTTATTTGGAGATGTAATGATGACCAATGTGGCTGTTGTACTCTCATATTGCCTCTGCTAGCTGCAGTTTGTTAGAAAGATGAGAGAAAAACATTCGTGACGGGTGTTTAACTTTAAACTCGTGGAGATTACGTTTAATTAAAGTGAGCTTTTAATAACTGTATTAGGATATAAGTCCTGATTTAAATTTTCCAATGAGAATTAGTGAAAGCAGAGACGACGAAGCAAAAGGTCGAGGCTGACATCCCGGATTTCGACAAACATTGACGGCCCATAATAAAGATCACACAGAAAGTAATTGTTTTTTTTTTGTTTTTAGATGTTTTACGCATTACAGACAATACACTTATGAATTAGCAAACTCAAATAAGAAGTTTATAGAATCAACGTCGTAACACCTAATATTTCAGACATCTATTTAGAAGGAACAGTTCACAATTATCTGAGAAACAGAAGACAGTTGGAGGAACAAATCCAGGGTTATCTGGGAAGTGGTAGATTGTTGGAGGAATAGTTCAACTTTATCTGGGAAACAGGGGGATATTTAGAAAAGCAAACCGTGTTTTTCGGAAGCTGTGAATATTTGGAAGAGGGAAGGAATAATCTGTCTACCTGGAATGTAGACAAATGATTCAAATGGAGTAGGGTAATGCACAAATGAGAAGAAAATGAAAATACGTGAGATAGAGAAAGGAAGCAGACAATTACGTAAACTCCATTTTTAAGGAGTAAAGTTATTCCTCGCTTACCCAGAGATCAGAAATCAATTGAGAAGGAAAATAAGTTATTCCATACTTGTAAGAGCAACTCAGAATAATTAGAAGAGGGGGTTACTTATTCAATAATTATATGACAAGCACATAGTAGACAAGTGAAAGGGGTATTCCACAGTTAACTGAGCAGCACAGGATAATTAAAAGAGGGTTTCTGCAACGTAAATACATGTTGAAAAGATGAGAACAAGCTGCAAATTTACTTTATCGGAAGAAAAAAATTCGGAAAATATAAGTTCATTTTAAATTAAACCAATTTCTGTATTTGGGGAATACTTGTCTCACATTGAGAACTGATGAGTAATATATTAATATTTTTACATGTTGACATTTTAAGACATCTTTATATGTATAATGTGCCTTATCCACCTTTTTTTTTTGCCTAGGGTACAAAGTAACCAAGTTCTTAAAAAATATTCTGTTTTACAAATCTATAAAATCATACTCAAATATTCATATCAGTATTTTTCAGAGAAAAATTATTTGTTAGTTTTTTTTCTATTTGATAGTTGTAAAAGTTGTTTCATTTTTGAATTACAATTTTTTTTTTTCTCGACATGCAATGAACATTTATGATATGTATTCTAAGACCTATGCAAACATTTTAGATAGTTACGTTCAAGGATAAATCTCCTTTAGTTTGTTTTTTTTGTAGTTTTAATTATGTTCATATCACTGTTCCTGTATTTGAAAACATGGTAATTTCAGTGTTTATTAAGGAATATTCAATCGCAAGAATATTTTATGTTATTTTGATAATTTTTTATTTCTTTAAGTTGTTTTTGCTTCATGCATATCATTTAGATTAAAATAACATAAAACATAATCATCGGGAGTTTTCAAATATTGTCATTCTTATGTTACAAGTTAAATTAAAGAGTTAAATGTCACAAAAATCGTGCTCTTTTCCATAAATGCAGGTTTGAGTATTCATATATGGAGTCATATAGTGTTCGTATTTTGTATCTTGAAACATCATCATTTTTTTGTATCGTGCAAAAGAAATTGACCCACCCTTGATTTGCAAGCACAGAAATATTGCTCCCACCACAATTTTCCCAGTCCGACCCCTAATAAATAATATCAATCTTTAAATTTTTGAAAGAAGAGAATGGTACACCGCTAAAATTGGATTGGTTTGTTTTGAATTTCGCTACACGAGGGCTATCTGACCTAGTCGTCCCTAAATTAGCAGTGAAAAACTAGAGGGAAGGCAGCTAGTCATCACCACCCACCGCCAACTCTTGGGCTACTATTTTACCAACGAAGACTGAGCCGTCACATTATAACGCCTCCACGACTGAAATGGTGAGCATGTTTGGTGGGACGGGGATTGGAACCCGCGACCCTCAGATTGCGAGTCAAGCGCTCTAACCACTTAGCCATGCTGGGCCACTTAAATTGGAATATGATCACATTAGATCAATGGGCAGGTAGTTAAACTTATATGGGAATGTAAGGATATTTAGAAATCGGGATAGTCACACTTACATGGGAATCTTTGCATACTTGAAAGAGCATGAGATATACCAATTATCTGGGAATATGCTCATTTTTGGAAGAGGGCTACGTAGGCAGACTTATTTGGGAACTTGTGTATATTTGGAAAAGGGGAAGTAATCACATTTACATGAGCATTTGTGTATTTGTAAGAGACATAAGGAAGCTACATTTTCCTGGGTGTCTGCTTATTTGGAAGAGGAGGAATACAGTCACACTTGCCTGGGAAACAACCCATATTTGAAAGAAGAGGTGAATAATCATACTTGTATGGGAAATTGAACACATTTAGAAGAAGGGAAAAACAGTAACATTTCTTTGAGAATATGGAATTATTTGGAAGAAAAAGAAAGTAGTCTTTCATGTCTGGGCAGCTGTTTATTCGAAAGAGGGGATGTGGAAATATTTAACTTGGAATCTATATTTATAAAAGGGGAAAGTGTCATAATTAGCTGGTGGTATATCTGTACATACGTGCAAGAGCAAAGAAGGTGACCACACGTATTTGAGAACTCATTATCTGCAAAGGAGGGAATTGGAAATAGTTTATTGAGAGGAGATGGTAATTTCAGTTTTTCTGGATATCCATGCATAGTTAAAAGATGAGAAGCTAATTACACTTATTTGGAGCTCTTTGTGTATTTGGAACATATTCATAAAATGTAAAGTGGGTCCCATTTATCTGCGAGACTCTGTATAATTGAAAGGGGTGAAAATAGTTACACTAATATGGATATGTCCACTTTCGAAAAAAAAACAGGGGGGGGGAAGTAACAAAGTTATCAAACGTTTATGTATTTTTGGAATAAGGAGAGACTATACATTTATCTGTGAATCTATGCGAGTAAAATAACAGCGTACAGTCAATCTTAAAAATACGAACTGGTTTTCATTATGTTCATAAACTGTGTGGTCCACATACTGCATCATATTAATTGTTTTTGTCTGTTATAACACAGTGTAAAGAAACAATGAAAAATATTGGGAGAAATCACTCGTTTTCTATAAAAGATACATAGGAAACCCCATAAGTAATTAGTGGGGCTCGTTGTTATATTGATGGTGCTTCAGTGCTGGTGTTCATGTAATTCGTGCGTTTTTAGGGCCCCTGTAACCAACCATGTCATGGTCTTACAAACAATTTGTTGCATAAGTAATTCAAAAAAAAAAAGTCCCACGGTGGGTTAGCGGTAAGTTTGTGGATTTAGAACTCTAAAGCCTTAGGTTCGATTCCCCGCAGTGGACAGAGAGTACAAATAGCACATTGTGCAGTTTTGCACTACAAACAACACTTCAGAAAAAATATATTTAAAAAATGAATGGGATACGAAACCCCATCGATAAAACTAGAATTAATTTTACATGTTAAACAGTCGATCCAGCCTTCTGTTACTTAATGTCACATGTTTTAACCAAAAAAACTTACTGTGTCTGTATTACTTTGTTTTATTCTTTAAATGACATTGTTTGTGTTAAGAGAAAATCTGAATTATTTTTGAGTAATTGTGTACTTTAACCTTTGCTCTGACTGTATCTTAAGGAGGCTTATCTTTCTCATGTATTTTGCTTGTAGATAAATGCGTAACTTTTCAAGCTATTTAAAACAATTTACTACATAAGTAACGTAAGATATTTTCTTCCACAGGTCACCACTACCTAGACGATGTTAATATTACTGTTGCTACAGGCTTAGGGCGTCGTATTTCAACCCTGTTAGTCAATCAGATTTCAACCGCTTTCCGGCGTAACAATGATCAGCATTGATTTTTCGTTGCGATCCGCTCAAAACGTCAGGTGACGTAAGTCCTTGCAACACACATACACTCTCAATCAATAATTTACCTGAAGTTCACAAACGCAGTGGACCGTGCAGAAAAATGATAACCCTAAATAAAATTAATTCAAAGTTTCCTTTAACTATTCCCTCGAACTTTCACCTTAAAGCTGGACACGAGTATATTCAAAGTCACATTCCCAGATGGGACCCAATCAGCAAAACGTGACAAACATTTTAAAGTCCTGTCTTGATTTAACCACACTGTAATTATTGCCAATCTTTAACGCACTAGACCTTTTTTATACAACCACTTCACTAGCACGTGTTTGTCCTATATCAAACAACTTCAATACAATTAAAAGGTATTGTAATTATACTGTCATGGGTATTTGCATGTCTTGATACACTTTTAAATCAAAAGTCTCGAAGTGAAGACCCCCCACCCACTCGAGTTATAATGAATATTCTCAAACATACTGTTGGTGCGAACGTGCGTTATAGTCACTATGAGAAAAACCTATACACTGGATAGATGAAGTGAAGAAAGTGTCATTGGCCACTATTAAGTTCTTTACATAGACTTCGAAATTTTAAAAAAGTTCGGAATACTAAGTTTATTTATTAATGAATATTCTATTATCGTTTTTAATTTCTTAACAGAAGGGGTTTTATAAAAAA